CTGTTAGCTGTTGTTACGGAGGCAATTGCGGATTGTTCTTCTTCCTTAAGAAAAATGTTGGGTGGTGTCCGAGTGGTTCAGTTACCAAGTTGGTGCGAATAGAATTCGAAGTCAGAGCAAGAGGGGACAAGATCCACTTAGCTTTTCAAGCCCCCGACTCTCTCCCTTCCCTGATCTCACTGCTCCTTGTAGGCCCGTTTATTTATTCCGACATCCTGGATTACAAGAACCTTCGGGAGACCGTGGTGAACAACCGCGTCACTTGGCTGTTTCACTACAGTGCTCTGCTCAGTGCAGTGGGCGAAGCAAACGTGTCCCTGGCAAGAGCCGTGAACATCACTGGTGGGTCTCTGGGTCTTGCGCCAGCGGTCTCTTTGCTGAACTCCCCAGCACTTTGGGAGGAGGCTGCCCGGGTTACGACGTCTGCTCGTTGCAGGGCTGCACAATGTTCTGGACGTTGCGGCGGAACACGGCCTGCGGTTGTTTGTGCCAAGCACCATCGGGGCTTTCGGACCGACTTCTCCGCGGAACCCAGCCCCCGATCTCTGTATTCAGAGACCCAGGACTATCTACGGAGTGTCCAAGGTCCACGCGGAGCTCATGGGGGAGGTAAGCATCGCTTGGCGAGACGGCCCAGGGTTGCCTTTTCTTACCTCGAACACCTGCTGACTCATCCTCGGTTGGGGGGGGGCTTTCTCCCTCCCCCAGCCCTGCCCCTGGAAATGCTCATGAACTGATTGTGTTTGCCAAGTGGCGGTCCCAGCTCCGGGCGGGTCCTAGCCCTGTGATGACACTCAGCGTTTCCTGCACGGCTCTCAAACGGCACCTCCTCTTTTGCTCGCTTCCCGTCTCATTTGCACCGCACTGATCTTTCAGGCTCCCAATGCCGGTAGTTTTTGCATTATGGAAACTTCAGAACATCTTTTGGGTCTTATTTTTTTACATTCTCTGTCTTTATAGCTCTACAGCGCATTTTAGCTGGTGTCTGAGCCTTCAGCTGACAAATCACAGTTGCCATCCTGCCCTGTCCTCCTCCCATGGCCGCAGTGCAGGACAGGCTCGTGGACATTTGTTCAGGACAGTGAGCAGGGGGTCCCTTGCAGAGAAAGGTGGGAAATCCCTGCTTACTGTAGGCCGATTTATTCTCTGCTCTGTTGTCTAGTGATGCTATCACGAGAATGATGATTCTTTGAAGAGAAAAACTTCAGAGTTATTAAAAGAAAGTGACTCAGTTCGAGAGTCTTCATTTTTTTAAGGAGTGTTTTAATGTGAATGTTTGGGATGATACTTCAGAAAAAGACATTTATTTGCATTGCTCTACCTGATTTAAAAGATTCTTTTGAAAGTGAGTTTTCCCTTTCTCGTAGTATTATTACTACCGGTATGGGTTAGACTTCCGCTGCCTGAGATACCCTGGGATCATTTCTGCTGACTCTCAGCCTGGAGGAGGAACAACTGGTAAGTGTTTTCGATTTCTTTTCTGACGTAAGGTAAGTTTGCTAATTGCCAGGCAGAGTGGGGACAGACCATGTGCTGATCGGAGTTGAGCATCCTTGTTCCTTGCTGAGGGGGTTAGTGCATCTGAGAAGCTCATTGTACCCTTTTGACTTGGACGTACGTGTTCAGGGCAGCTCTTGCTGGTGGTGTAAATTCAGTGAGATTGGCCACCAGCCCACAGTGCTGGAATCAAACAGACCGTTTTTGAGAACAAGCTTGTTACCCACACTGTGGGAAGACACCGAAAGAGAAATAGCCTCTTTCTTTGAATACACCTTAGCTTCTTAATACAGAGATCTATTAAAATAGCCACTCTGCATTGCGTATTAAGAGAGAACAAAGCCTTGCTCCTGTGGTGGTGGTTATTATTTATCCAAATCGCCTTAGTTTTTATTTCAGAAAAGCTTGTCCAAAAATGAGTGTGGCTTAGTGCGCATCTCTAGTACAGCCAGTTACTTTGCTGTATTATACATTGGTGAGTGAAGCGCCAGGCATGGTAACATCATTTTTTATTTTTGAGGTATAGTTGATTTATAGCATTTATAACTTTCAGGTGTACAGCACGGTGATTCACAATTTTTAAAGATTATACTCTTTCTATAGTTCCTATAATATATTGGCTATATTCCTTATGCTGAACAACGTATCTTTATAGTTTATTAATTTTATACATACTAGTTTGTACCTCTTAGTCCCCTCCCCCTCCCTTGCCCCTCCTTCTTCCCTCTCCTGGCTAGTAACCACTAGTTTGTTTTCTATATCTGAGTCTTTTTATATTCACTAGTTTGCTGTTTTTTAGATTTCACATAAATCTAACATACAATATTTGTCTATCTCTGTCTGACTTGTTTCACTTGGAATAATACCCTCCAAGTTCATCCATGTTGTTGCAAATGGCAAGATTTCTTTCTTTTTTATGGCTGAGTAATATTCCATTGTGTGCATGCACCACAGCTTCTTTACCCAGTTATCTGGTGATGGACACTAAGCTGGCTTCCATGTCTTGGCTGTTGTAAATGATGCTGCTGTGAACAATGGGGTGCATGCACCTTTTTGCAGTCATGTTTTGTTTTCTTTGGATGTATCCCCAGGAGTGGAATTGCTGGGTCGTGTGGTAGTTTTGTTTTAGTTTTTTTCGGGAACCTCCATACTGTTTTCCACATCTTTGTTGCTCTTACTGTTTTGGATTCAAGCATGTGTTCTATTCAGTAACTCTCACGTCAGAGATCCTTCCCATGTGAGGGGTTCTGAGATAGCGTCAAAGATAATTGACAAAACTGGAGAGATTTTAAGAGCCTTTGGTTTTGGTTACTTTAAAAAAGTTTTCGCCTTAACATGGTGCTTCTCCAAGTGTGCACTGGGGCCTGCTCGGGATCTTTGAGGGGTCCAGAAGGTTAAAAGTATTTTCATATCAATACTGAGATGTTGTTTGCCTCTCTCACTCTCCGTGGAGAGTTTTTCCAAGGCTACGTGATACATGTAGCACAGTGGACTGAACACAGAAGCAGGTAGACCAGCTGTCTCTCAGTAAGCCAGACAGTAAAGAGATTTTCAGAATGTAAAACACGTCATTCTTTGCAATAAATTTTCTTCTGTTTGGAAAATATGTTCTTTTTCACATGAGATATCCTACATATGAATGTGTGATGAGTTTATTATTGTCAAAATGTAGAAATATTTTTAAAAATTCTCAGTTAATTTCTGGGATAGTTGATACTGCTGTAACTCACATTAATGGCCTCTTTCGGGGGAGGGGGTCCTCTGTTTTTTAAGTGCATAGAGAGGCTCTGAGAGTAGGACAGTTAAGAACCACTGCCTTAATCCAAGAGGCTCGCTCGTGGTTTTGTTGCGAGAAGACCCACAGACGAGGTTCTCTTTCAGACTATGCGGTGCAGATCTTCCACAGCGCTGTCAAGAACGGCAGGTTTGAGTGCAACCTGGAACCTGGCACGCGGCTCCCGATGATGTACATTGATGACTGTCTCCGGGCCACCCTGGAGGTCATGGAGGCCCCGGCCGAGTCCCTCTCCATGCGGACCTACAACATCAATGCCATGAGCTTCACCCCCGCGGAGCTGGCCCAGGAGGTCCTCAAGCACATCCCGGAATTCCAGATCACGTACAACGTGGACTCTGTCCGCCAGGCCATAGGTTGGTAGCTCGCTGTGAACCCCCGTCCAAACCAAAACTAGGGTTTAGTTCTCCCCGCGAGTCCCCCGAGGACATAAACCATGGAGGCGCAGGGGAGCCCAGCACCTCCCCAGGGGGCCCGACACCTTCTGGAGGAGGAAGTGCTGGGACCAGAGCCAGCATGTGCTGTGGTTTTGGGAAACGCTCTCTAAAGTGGGTGGACTAGAACCACCCCAGATCCACAGCTTGTCTGCACTTCGCCGTGTGACGGTTTAAACATAAAACGAGCAGATGCAGTGTGAGAATAGCCCTGGGTTCTCAAATGCTGCGACTGCTACTCTGAGTGCCTCTTGAGCCCAGTAGCCCCATGTCACAGGTGTGCGTGAAGCTTTACTAGTAGGTGACCGCTCCCCGCGCCTGGCGGTAGCTGGCTTCCGCCGGCATCTAGGCTGAGGAGGTGACGGCTGATGCGCATGATAGCCGCTCTTCTGCTCAAGGGGGGATTTCAAAGAGGAAATTTCTTTTGTGGATGACAGACCTTGATTTTAAATGTTCTAGCCCTTTCTGCAGATCTAGAGCCCACATAACGTAAGGTCCTCTCCCATGTCTTGTCCTAGCGGATAGTTGGCCGATGAACTTTGATGACAGCAACGCTCGGAAGGACTGGGGGTGGAAACACGATTTTGACCTCCCGGAGCTGGTGACGACCATGTTGAATTTCCACGGTTCCGAGAGCAGAATTGCCCAAGCCAACTGAAGGGGCCGGAGGAAAAGCTCGTGAGTCTCGGGCGGCAGGGGGTAAACCAGAACAACCCCAAGTCTCCAGACCCCAAGGAATCCAGACAATCTGGAGTTGAAGGACTAATGGGACTAAATTTTTGCAGCTCATATTGAACTACCAGGTGGAAGACTGTGTTGGCTTTAGCGTTTTCTCAGTGCTGGAGGTTTGGTGGTAGGACTTCTGAATCTTTGCTGTTTGCCTAAACTTGTCCAAACACACATACCACAGAATGAAAGCTTAAGTCATAATAGTTTCCATTTCCTTAATTAAGATGAAGCCACCATTTCTGGGAAGGTGGAAGTATGTGACGTTTGTATTAAATTAAAGTTAATTTAAATATCACTCCTAAGACTCCATTATTCTCTTGACTAAGACCAAAGATTAAGATTACATTTTAAAGATTACCAAAAATGATCTCCTGATGTGAAAGAATCCTTCACTATCCCATCAGAACATAAAAGATATCTGATGTATTAATCCCGAGTTCACAATGTTCAAGAGATTTTAACCCTGTCATAAATAATCACTTCTGATTTTTCTACAAGAAGATATATTTGTAGTAAATTAAGGACATCAGAGATGATCTAACTAGTAAGGGGGAGCATCTCTTATTTTGATTGCCTTCCTGTTGGTGAGCTGAGGGGTGGTGACCAGGACTACGATCCCCACCTGCAGTGTCGGTCTTCCGTCTCCCGAGGTCTTGTTTCTGAGCTCTCCCCTTCAGGTGGACTCGATCAGTGGGATGGGAATCTCGAAGGACCACCATTGTTCTCTTCCAGCTGCAACCCCCTAGTTTAGACCAGATCCAAACACGATCCTCTAAAGAGAACTCCTCGCTGCAGCCCGTTTGCACACGTAGATGCACCTTCAGAAAAGCTCCTCTAACCCTGTGAGGCAATTACTATACAAATATATACAGATGTATTTTATCTCAACTTTACTGAGATACATTTCACATACCGTAAAAGTCACTCATTTGAAGTTTACGATTTGGTGATTTTTTAGCACATTCACAGAGTGCAGCCATCACTGGGGTCTACTTTGAAGCCATTTCAGCATCCCACAAAGACACCCTCCCCAGCCTAGGCAACCACTAATTGACTTCCTGTGTCTATGGATTTCCCTGCTCTGGACACTTCACGTCGGTGGAATCACACAGCATGTGTCCTTTCGTGTCTGGCTTCTTTCGCCTGGTGTAGTGTGTTCAGGGTCCATCCATGCTGTGGCGTGTGTCAGGACTTCATTTTATCGCTAACTGGTATTTCATTGTGTGAATGTACCACATTCTGTTTGTCCATTCATCATTTGAGGGATGTTCAGGTGGTTTGCACTTTTTAGTTAATTAGGAATAAATGCCGTTATGAATATCTGTAGATAATTACGTTTTGGAGCTCTGTTTGTTCTGTTGTTTATTTCTGTTTGTTCAGTTTGAAAAAACGACTCTTAAGCCCTCTTAATTATTCTCAGTTATCCTAACGGAACAGAAATGAATTCCTTCCTTCCATGAGAAGGGAAGAAGCAACTGACTTGAGTGGCCCTTTGTCCCGTAGACCTTCGTTGTCTTGCACGTCCACCAGGTTCCTTGGATGACCTTGTAATTACGGCCCTTTGGAGGGATTTGTCCTGGAATGGTTTCCTTTAATCTTCCTAAATCTATAAATACACCTCTGGGAGAAATTCGAAGCATGAAAAAACAATGACTGCTTCAGACTGTAAGGGTGATTCTTACTCAGACAGCTCTGCGCTTGAAGACTAAAATTAGAGTTGCCCTTTCTGTCTAAACACTTGATGTCTGGTGTACATCTTGGGATCCCAGGAGATGACTCAATGTTTTACTATAAAAAGCTTTCTTTTCTGTTAGGAGAAAGAGTTTTTTTTATGGTTAATTTGGAAATGATCAGAAAAGCTACTGTGAAGGGGGAAGTGTGGGTTTCACCACAAAAGTAGTTTTTTGATTTTAAGAGGAGAATACAAAGGGTACCTTGGCCCTGGTGTTTTTCATCTTGAAGATTTCCATAGGCTTCCAACGTGGTGACCAGGCCTGTTGGTGTGTTTCCTGGGTGACGTGGCCACCATGTGTCTCCACGAACGTCACAGCCCGTGCATTGTTCAAAATCGGGAAACAGGCTCCGGGCAGTGAGTGCTGGGGTGCTGTTCAGGACACTTACTGTAGAAGGGCGTGGTGGGTGCTGATAGCAGTTGCTAACTCGCATAGGCCAGATCGCCAGTTTATTCCTGCATTTTATGGTAAGGGCGTGAGCGTTTTTGAAAGACACGAACATTTTTTTTTTCATTTAAAAATATTTCTATTGAGAATTCAAACCATTAAAAGATAATGTAATGGAAAAAAGTTTTCTTCTCCTTTAAACCCAACCAATAACTGATGTTGACAGTATAGTGTGTGCCTGCACTCCCCCGTGCTCACACAGCATAATAGTAGATGACAAACCGTTTTTTTTAAACCGTAAAAGTAGTGCTAAGACAACATTGCTGAAAGTTTTGGAAAGGAGTCAAGTGCAATTTTTTTTTTCAGTTGAAGTATAGTCAGTTTACAATGTTGTGTCAGTTTCTGGTGTATACCATAATAGTTCAGTCACATGTATATGCATATATTTGTTTTCATATTTTTTTCAGCATAAGTTACTACAAGATATTGAATATAGTTTTCCCTGTGCTATCCAGTATAAACTTGTTGTTTATCTGTTTTATATATATAGTAGTTAGTATCTGCAAATTTCGAACTCCCTTCCCCACCCCTTCCCCTCCCCTCCCTGTAACTATGTTTATTCTCTGTGTCTGTAGGTCTGTTTGTGCTTTGTAAAAATTTTTGCCTCACCTAACATACTAGCTATTTTTTTAAACATTCCCATCTAGTTGTCTTATGTGTGTTATAAGTAACATAAATGTAGTTTTAATATTTACCATTTAAAAACAGCTGCATACTAATCCATTGAGTGGAATGTCCTAATTATGCAATCATCCCACTATTCAGTTGCTTTACTTAGAATCCCACAAGTATGATGGCTAGGTGAAAAAGTATGAACACTTTTATTTGCCTCTTAATTTTACATAGTCAGACGCCTACTGAGAATGAATGAATTAATTTATGATGAAATTCTGCTCCATCATCTACACGCTTTCTCTTGGTACATATTGATTTGCCAAGATCTGGTTTACATTTAAAAGTTATATTTTTTTTTAAAAAAAAAGGTTTTGGGACTGTAAACTTTAATTTTTACTGGGCAATCTTAAGATTCAAATTGAAAAAGTTTTGAAATAGTGTGAAAAAGATAGTAAATCTCCCATTAATCAAGGTAACTGACTCTAAATTCAGTGCATTGGTTCCATAAGCCATCCCTGAGATAGTAATTCTATTTTTAAATCATATTTTGTTACAATAAATTAGGGTACTTAACTTTTTTGAAAATAGAATATTTTATGTTAGTTTTTATGGTTTTAATATCATGCATGCTTGGTTGTATGGGGACTCAGCTGAATAGACAATACCTCATCTTGCAATGTGAAGATCTTCCTAAAATCTTTCTGGCCCAACTTAAAAATTTAACTCTTAGGGTTGCAGACGAGATGGTAAGATATATGCCTTTAATATTAGTTATGGGTTTCAAATGTGTTCATCTGTTAACCAAGAAATGAGCTTTTCCCCATTACATTCACGTTTCACGAATGTTACTCACACTTCAAAGTCACTTTTGACATTGACTTTTGTGGTCATCTAACAAATCAAGGGTGAGTGATCTTTTCTCCCAATTAGTTTGAGAGGCAACATTTTAAAAACTCAGTTATGTGATGCTGTTGATGGAAATTTTATCCCAGACCACAGGCACCCCACGCATAACACCAGGCAGGGCATTCGAAATCCATCCTGTGACTGCCACGCGTTACAGTATTGCTTTTTAAACAGCGACACCCAGCACTGGAAATTGTCGCTTTATGATCTCAGGGATCATCACCAAATCTGTTAATTTGCCTCCTTTCCAGCCTGTTCTGCCAGCACCCGGGATTAGCGCTGTGGGAGGTTGACTGAGGCTGGCGTTTCCACGGCAGCCTTCTGTTCAGGCTATTGACAGCGCCGAGGCTGCTGTGAGAGACTTGGTGATATATCGGCTGTTAAGGTGAGCCTCTCTAAGATGCACTTTCGGAAGAGAATTTTGCGCTATATTGATTATATGTGATAAGTTCTCTATTGATACATTTGTTTGAAGTACTAAAGATTTCTTTTTTGATTTATGAACGAGACTATTTAAAAATATTTCATTTTTCATTTTGCCTAGTCCTTTTTTAAATTGAGGTGTAATTCTTATGTAACTTCAGGAATCTAATGTATGTAGATTATTGAGAGAAGTTTAAAGATAATCTCTGGTGTGTAAGATTTAACCAGAGAAGACTCCCCTCCCCTGAGGATTTGCTTTTTCAATTTTTTCACGTTTAAGGCACCCAGAAAATGTATCATTAAAAACATAATTTTAAAAATGTCATTAGAATATGCCATTATTTGTAACACAAATATTTTTATGTTCCACTAAGAAAGGAAAAAAACCTTTTCCATTAAGCAGACAATGCTTTCACATTAGTTGGAAGTTTTTCTTTATTGAAGGACTCTTTAGACTTTGCCAGACTAGATTTTTACCACTTGTGGATTCATAAGAAGGGAAATAGTCAAATGCATGTCTCATATACCTAAAACTTAGGGTCTGACTTTCCTGAATCACTTTTTACTCAGTTGTTGATGTCTTTGTTTGCATCGAATGTTATTCTCTGTGCCAATAAGCATGTTGATGAGAGAGCATTTCTTAAAAGAATTTATAAAGACCAAAAAATCACTGATGGTGTAAACCGACTTTCCGATAACATCAATTTAGTCTGCTTTTGACAACTGCTTCAGGAATGTGGCCAGATGTACCTGACTTACCCCAAAACTACAACTCCTGTTCCTAGGGGTTGAAAAGCTGACACCCACCTGCAGGGTGGATGCTGGTTTTGATGGTGCCTGTGTAAGCAACGCCAGCACTATTAGCATCGCCCCTTGGCCAGCAGGGGTTGTAGGACAGAGCCCGATTTTAAAGATGTTCGAGTGTGAAAAACATACGAGTCTGAGTGGGCGTATCATGCTCGGGCTACATCTGTACCCACTGGGGTCAAGGGCAACCCTGCCCTGCTCAGGCTGCTGCTGTGGGCTGAGATGACTAGGGGTCCTGCAGCCATGCCGTTTACGTTGCTGGTGGGTTAACTGATCAGGTGGAGTTGCTGAAGGTGACCACAGAGTGTCAGGATGTGTACACCACAGAGGAGATGTGAGCTGCTGGGAGAGAGCTTCAGGGAGAGAACAGATCGTCCAGTGGGGGGTTGTCACATTAGGGTCGTGGTTCCTAAGGTGACTTCCCTTTTGTTCCATGAAGTGTTAGGTGAAATTTCAGTTTTCCATTAATGCAGTTGCAACTATTTGGGTATTTTGTGGAAGTGGGACTATTATAAAGGGCCGGGAAGGACCCCCAAGGCCAAGGGTAGAATAGGAAATGGTCAGTGGGAGTCTTGCCCTATGTCTTAATTATACCAGCACCTTTCAGTTGAAAAAGGAAGGGGCTGAGGCGGTGGGGATGAGGGAGGAATAGCTCATAGCAGAGTGTGTGCTTAGTATGCGCGAGGTCCTGTGGCTCTACCCTCAGTATCCCCATTAAACAAAAACAAGCGGGAAAAAAAAGGAAGAGGCTGGAATAAGAAGAGGTGGATGTCCCCTCCCCTCTCTGCACGCTGAAGCCTGCAGACACTGCCAGGTGCTGAGAATCATGGTCCCAGGAACCCGAGGGAGACTCATCGCCTGGCAAATACCAAATGACACTTTAAATGAACGTTGCCTCCATTTTTTCCTGGATGACACTTTTGTATTTGAACATGAACCTGTCTGGCCCGTGAGAAATCGACACGTCTTCCCAACCAGTGCAAAAGTGTGAATATCTGATTTTAGAGGCGGGTTTGATTTGGGGAAAAAGCTTTGCACCCGGAAGAGAAATGACTTCTGGCCGTCCCCTTGCCCCCGGCTGTGAAGCTTGACCAGCTGCGAGAAATGGCGCGAGCCCGGCTGGGCAGGGCTGCTGCCCCGGCCTTCCAAAGCTGTGGTTTCAATCAGGGAATTAGAAACCTGTCTATACTTAAACATTGGGTACATTGGAAAGACTGTCTGTAAACATGTAAATTAAGAGGCGTAAGAAAACCAACTTCTGCACACTCAGCACTGTGCTCAGGGTCCACCCATCCCCGCGGGCTCCCTCTCCCCGCCTTGGCCACGTTTTCTTTGTGCAGTTTTGCTCATTAGAGGTGGACACGGCAGCCTGTTTCTTCCCTTCACTGATGAGACGC